TCCTTGGGATCGGCTCCGGCGGGCGCCGGCTCTCGGTGACCTCTATCCGTTTCCCAAGTGCCCGCCACCAACTACCTGCACCCTACGCCCGGCTCCGAGCCCAAGGGTCGCCAGCGTTCGGGAGCAACCCCCCGCCCCCGGGGCTGTTTCGAGGTGCCGACACAAGTCGAGTGTGCGCGTTTGTCCGTTTCAGGCCATGGGTCTTCCGCAGCGTCAGGTTCCCCGAGACCGACCGCAGCACCCACTCCCAAGTCGCCATTTCTCGCCCCACTCCCGTCTAAACACGATGCCGGGCGGATATATTGCCAACCTGGAGTCACATGTAAATACCAACACCGCATCGCGAAGGTGCTGGCGTCCCTCATCCTCTCCCCAGGTGCACTCGGATCCCGGCGGAGCGCACGGGGCACCGCGGCCCGGCCTCCCCTCCCCTCCCGCACTCCCGGGCCGACCGTGCCGCCAGCGCGGTACACAGAACACCGCCCTGCGGCAAACGGCCGCCTTCGCACATTTCCTTCTGCACCCGGCCTGCCCAGTGATAGAGACCCTTGACTTGACATTTTGGGAAGTTTATTAATGAGTGTCTCAAATAGAGCAGTCCATTTCCACACTTGTTTGGGAGGGAGGGGGCGGGGGGAATGGAAGAAATGCTTTTGCTTTCCAAAAGAAGCTGCGCTTACAGAATGTACTCTTGGATTTCCATTATTTGCTTACATTTTTTAACCTGGGTTTCCTCTTTGTTATGGGCAATACCTACTGACTAGATAAAATACTAGCACGCAGGAGAGAGAGAGAGAATTCTTTAAAGGCTTCCAGAGGCCTCGGGGGCAGGGAGCTCATGGAGTCTCCTGTGAGCCTGAGAAGGGGAGATTAGATAAGCAAGGGGCCGGCAGGAAACGCCAGACCTCGGAGAAATGGGTCTCAAACCCTGCACGTATCTAAACGCTAAGCACTTGGTTAGTATTCAGTGTTTCGGTAAAGACTGAATCTGGCAGTGTTGTCTTTCAGATACTCCTCTTGGGACCCCAAGAGGTAGGTCCTTAAGATGAAGCTGCAGGGTTAGGTGAATACCAGGCCAGGCAGAGCCAAACATCTAGCTTGGAACCAGATCTTCTGACTTTACACTCTGGGGTTTCCTCCATTTCAACAGGCAGGGTAAACAACAAAACCTCAACAGAGCAAACAGAAAGAAAATCAAGAAAAAAAGTCATAGGAAAGAGTTTTAAAAGATATTTGTCAATATGCATGGGGTGGCAAAGAGTCAGACACAACTGAGTGACTGAACTGAACTGATTTTTAAGTGGGAGAATCCCTGGCCTCGGGGAAGAGTTTCATTGCCAAGCTGTTTGTTAGCTCTTGTTTCAAAATGGTGGTAAAAACCCTCAAGTGGTACATTCCCAGATTTGGGGGACATACTTGAAACGGTAGCCCTTAAAATTCAAGCTATATGGAGAGAGTAATATGGAAACGTACACTGCCCTATGTAAAATAGAGAGCCAACGGGAGTTTGCTGCCTGACTCTGGAACTCAGCCCCCCGGCTCTGTAAGACCCTGGAGGGGAGGAGGAGAGGGGAGAGAGGCGTGAGATTCGAGACGGCGGGGACATACGTGTGCCTGTGGCTGATTCATGCTGATGGTCGGCAGAAACCAACAAACTTCCGTAGAGCAGTTAGTCTTCAACTGAAGAATAAGTTTAAAAAAATTTTTAATCAAACTAAAAGGAAGTCACCTAAGATGTTTGGAATTAGCCAGCGCCACACTGACCTGGTCGTTGTAATTGAGTTACCGATTAGATTAGGGTTTTCCTAAATTCGTCTTCAATCGACATGCCCCCTGCCCCCAAATCTAGTCAAGAAGATTGAAAGGTAACAAAGTGCTCTTAAATTTGTTAAGGCATATCGCAAGTGACCTCACAGAGGGACCTAGCACAAAATGAGTCAGGAGAAAGAAGTGGAAACTGAAGGCCGCCAGGGTAAGTGTCCAGGATCACTAGCCGGTACAGGGCAGCCTATCAGACACCTGCTCTCACATTACTGAATTCTACTTTCCTGCAATGTAGTTATCACTAAGGGCTAGTTTTCTTGTTTGCTTATTTATTTATTGCCTCCTGACTCCAGAAGGTTCCTGTCCTCAGCTGTGTTTTTGCTGCCTGGCACACCCAAGACAGTATATATCGTTGAATAAATGAGTGTGTCCAGTTGTCGTTGCTTGGTGAGATCATATGTTAAGATCCTCCATCTCTGTTCACTCGGATTCTTCAGTCACCCAGCAGCCTTTTCATGTTTGTTGAATCTCTCAAATATAGTGCTCAGATCAGCCAGTAGGAGAATTCAAATGGTCCTGACAATTCTATGTCTTATTCTAAGTTATTGTGGTTAAGTGGGTTAGCTCCCAGTGTAAAGTTCTTGTGGGCAGTTAAAAGACGCTTGCTCCTTGGAAGAAGAGCTATGATAAACCTAGATGGCGTATTAAAAAGCAGAGATGTCACTTTGCCAAGAAAGGTCTGTATAGTCCAAGCTATGGTTTTTCCAGTTGTCATGTAGGGATGTGAGAATTGGACCATAAAGAAAGCTGAGCACTGAAGAATTGATGCTTTCAAACTGTGGTGTTGGAGAAGACTCTTGAGAGTCCCCTGGACTGCAAGGAGATCAAACCTGTCCATCCTAAAGGAAATCAGTCCTGAATATTCATTGGAAGGACTGATGCTGAAGCTGAAGCTCCTATAATTTGGCCGCCTCATATGGAGAGCTGACTCATTGGAAAAGACCCTGATGCTGGGAAGGATTGAAGGCGGGAGGAGAAGGGGACAATAGAGGATGAGATGGTTGGATGGCATCACCGACTTCATGGACGTGAGTTTAAGCAAACTTCGGGAGATAGTGAAGGACAGGGAAGCCCATGGGGTCACAAAAAGTTGGACACGACTTAGCAACGAAATAACAACAAATGGGTTTGCAGACCATGATTTGTGGGCCATAAGCAGCTCATAGACCACACACTATGCGTCCAGAAAAATAACTACTAACTTAAAAATCAGGAGATTCTTTTAAGCACATGGCAGAAGCCCTGGCCCTTGTGATGCTCCTTTCCTTGAAAGGCAGTGGATGGATAGGAGTTCTCAGCTTCTCTTGTTTCTGCTGGGCCCGCTGGAATGTGTGTGCATGTCTCTGGCCCCAGAAAACGTCTGAGATTGTGACCCTAAATTTGTGTTGGTATCCTCAACTCACTGATCTCCATTTCTCTTCCTTTGAAAGCATGTCAAAAATGTCTGTTTGTAATTTTATTAAAATTGAGAAAATAATGAAAAGAAATAAGAGATAGAACCAAATCACCAATACACTTGAACAATTTTATTTCCTTGGAGATAGCAAGAGGAAAAAAAATATTTAGCTTACTTCTAAAGTTGACAGAAGTCTAATTTTAAATCCTCCAAAATTCTGGAAGAGTTAGTTTCAAGGAATTGGTATCAGGGTTAATAAAATGTACAAAGCAATCATAGCAGATGGACTTCACATTGTTTTCTTTTCATTTTTTTTTTGAACCTGTATGTTCATGCTTTTTATTTATACTTGAAATGCAGGTAGATATATTTTAAAATATTGTGTCCTTTTTTTTTTTACACTACAGTCTGATTCTTTCTTTCAAATAGCTATTTGAAAGGTAGGTTATCTTGATTTTTGGAGGATGGGAGAAAGTGATATGAAATTACTTCAAAGTCTACTGTGTACATTTGAACTTTATTTACATCATCCTTTGACTTTTGAAATGTTAACTTTTGATTAACAAGGAATTTGACATTTACAAAACCTATCATAAATGAAAGTGCAACAACTACTTTTGTTCTGTGGAAGAAGTAATCAAAATATCACAAAATCTATCCTTTAAAAATCCTACAGGGAATATCTTGAGAAAAACTGGAGGAGTACAAGCCAATTCATTGTTCCTGATCAAGGGAAGTGAAAAGAAGTAACAAAGTGAAGATAAGACTTCTATGCAAAAAGCAATTCAATTATAAATCTGATTGATAGGGCCCAATTAAAAGCTTGGTTAAAATTTAATTTTGAACTCTTATTGAGTTTAAAAACAATTAGTAGAACAAATTGATCTAGAATTGGGGGCTGGCTTTTGTTTGCTAAAAACCGCAGATGTCACGTTTGCCTTCTTGTGGTTAAGAAGTGTGATATCACTTACATGTAGAAACTAATACATGGTACAAATCAACATATCTACAAAACAAAGACAGACTCACAGACCCAGAGACCCCGCTTGTGGTTGCCAAGGGGGTGAGGAGGGGTTAGGGGAGGGGAGGATTGGGAGTCTGGGATGAGCAGATGAAAACTATCACATAAGGGATGAACAAAGAACAAGGTCCTACTGGATAGTACAGGGAACTGTATTCAATATCCCGTGATTAAATCACGATGGAAAAGAATATGAAAAAGAATGTGTGTACGTGTATAACAAATCGCCTTGCTCTACAGCAGAAATCAACGCAACATTTTAAATCAACTGTGCTTCAATAAAAGTTAAAAGGGATAAATGGAATGTCAGAATGTTCCTGTCACACACACACACCAGAGCAGTGTCAAAGAGGCAAGCTCCTGATTTGAGCAACAAAATAAAGTCGTGCTGGTTACTAACCCAAAGTATGAAAGAACTATGGGCTTTCCAGATAGCACCGTGGTGAAGAATCTACCTGCTGAGGCAGGTGATTCAGGAGACGCAGCTTCCACCCCTGGGTCCGGAAGATCCCCTGGAGGAGGAAATGGCAACCCACTCCAGCATTCTTGCCCGGGAAACCCCACTGACATAGGAACCAGGCAGGCTACAGTCCGTGGGGTCGAAAAAGAGTCAGACACGCCTGAGTACTGACCACATCAAAGAACTATCCCCAGTTCCATAGTGATATAGACAATGATTGAATAAAGCAAGAAAGAAGTGGAGAAGAGATAAATCCCTCCTGTGGGAGAACTGCAGACAATACATGTAGGTACATGGCCCTCGAGAAGGTGGAGCGTAACTCAGCACTCTTGGAGTGTGGGCTGGCCACGGCGTTTCCTTCTGAAGAGGAAGGGTCATCACTTCAACAACAACAAGGACAGAGTCAGCCGGAGAGCATGTAACCTTGACCTGGTGTGATGAGAAGGGCCCTTACCTCTGGAATCTTCCTTCCCCAAACCCCAAATCTGTCTAACCAGGAGGGAAGTACCAGGTGCATCCCAGCTGAGGGATCCTACAAAATACCTGACCGGAACAGAA